TTTTTTTTGGTTGTAAATAAATAGATATGAATCTATTGTGGGTTTGGTTCGTTTTACATTTTCTAAAACAAACTTTTTTTTTGGGTACAAAGAATGAGGCCAGCGGCCTAATTAGCTAAGATTCTACGGGAATAAGAAACTCCAATAATATCATGCTCAAGCCACGAGTTCAGGCCCGTAGGCGGTGCAGTTATCCTCTGCAGCCCAATCGGGCAAGATGTCGCCATGCTCGCCAAGTGGTCGGCTGCGAAGTTGGCTTCCCTATGAATATGTCGAACTTCAACGGTCCACTCCCGCTGCAACAGAAGTCGGATGCCCTAGACTAATGAGTGGTTAGAGCCAAATGAACCATCAAAGCTAAGCACCATTTGCGATACACACTTGCTATCAATCTCAGCAATGACTTGGCGGTATCCCTTGTCCCATGCCAGTTGGTGACCCTGGAAAAGACCCCACAACTCAGCACCCGTAATGGTGCAGGCCCCAATATTCATAAGAAACCCCTCAATCCAACCACCCGAGTCATCCCTAAGTAAGCCGCCCGCACTACTAATGCCCGAGAGATTATTAACTGCGCCATCCGTGTTCACTCTAACCCATCCCGGGTCCGGTGGAGTCCAGTGCACCATATGTGTGATATAAACCGCAGCCCCAACCTTGCCGTAAGCAGCTTCGGCTCGGGCATAACTATCCACAAACCTCACAATATCAACCTGTCGGGCTTCACTGCTTAGCATTTTGAACTTAAACACTCGCTCATTTCCCCACTTCCATGCGCGCCAAACCGAAATAGCGAAAGTGCTGCTCCATTTATCGACCATACCCAACCGTACGGTCGCAAGGTTCGTCCGTAGCCAGTCGACGAGGGGCTGCTGGAAAAAAGCGACCGGATCGACGCCTTGCAACAGGCGACTCCACACGGGCTTTACGTAGGGGCAGTCCCGCAACACATGAAGTACCGATTCGCGGGCCCCACAGAAATCACACTCTTCCGCCGTCGCTAGGTGCCGACGCACACGCTCCACGTTAGTGAGAAACCGCCCGTTAGCCGTGATCCACAGAAACTGTCGGACGCGCTGTGAGGCCTGTGCCCGCCATATGAGCTTCCATAGCAGCTGTGCAAGTGAATGTTGAAACTCGAAACGTCGTAATGCACTGTGTCAATCAGATCGCTTTTTATTTAAAGAATAATTAAATATTTCGTGCAACTACAAATCATAATGACATTCACTATCACTTTGTCGAAAAAATCTAGAAAATAAAAATGTTGATTTCAAAAAGATTGAGACGATGAAAAATCATACGAATATGATGACCAATGTAGTGTCATCACTTAATTAGTATATATGACTATCGAATAATTTAATCAAATAAGTTAAAAGGATCGAATCCTATAGTAGTGATTGAAAATCCATGAAAGTATATATGACTATCGAATAATTCAACTTACAATTTCAAACGAGCTACTAATTTCATTAAATCCTATCACTTTCCTTTAAATTTTTTTCCGGAAAAGTGCGATTTTATGGAACTGGCCTAACTTGCCTTTTGAGATATTTTAAACGTACAATATTGTTACAAGTCAACGGCTATATATATAGCCTCACAAAACTAATAAAACATTGAAGAGTATACATAAGAGACGGTTTTGTTATGAAGTCAACAGTTGACTCTATAGTAGAGCCAATTTTTTATATACAACAAATAAACTATACCATATTATTAAAATTATAATTATGTTATTTAAGTAATCAGAAAATATGATAGGTTCTTGTTGTATATAGAAGGTTGGCTCCACTATAGAGTCAACTATTGGTTTCATAGCAAAACCGACATACGAGAAATTCACACGATCAATTTTATTAGTGCCAAAAAAAAAAGGTACTTTCTTTTCTTATGCCTTTCTTACCACAATTGATTATATATTTTGATAGGCAGGATTTACTTTTAATAATAAAATTCGATAAAATCTTGTTCATTGACATTAAGCTTGATTGGTTATCATTTAAAAAATTGCCTACCTAATAGAAAAATTTAGCCGTCTCATCAATTTAGGCTGGAACGTTACTTTGTCAACGCCATTTCTAAAATTGAGCACAGATAACACAAAAAGTCAAAATTGAGAAGCTAAAATGAAACTGCCAACTAGTCCAAAATAGTCAAAACTAGTTTTTTTTGTGTTGATATTTTTCTTTTGGTAGTTATAATTGGTCGATCCGGGTCGCACACTTGACAGTGGTGGGTGAGTCTCCCAACAAAAGTTTTCTGCATCCACATGGACTCAAACCCAAGGTCTTGGTTATGTCGGCTGCTTACACTTGAGACAAACTTTCTTTTGGTTGATAGTTTTAATTGTGGTGTCAGTTGAAATAATATTTCATAAATCGCATAAGTACTTTAAGAATAATTCATGTTCTTATTAACTTTTTAAAAAATTCAGTAGGCTTGATTTATAGGCTTGCGAATAAATCTTATGGCAAAATTTCATTTTTGGTTCATTATATTGACCATTTTCTAGAAATGGTTCACTAATTTGACGGACATCGAACTTGATACTATAAGTTGTAAAATTTATCATTTTTGGTCCATAAGCCTACGTGGCGTTTTATCGGGCGAATACGTAGACAAGTTTGATGTCTGCGACGTAGGCTCGTTATCCAGCCCGAGTGATTAATGGACCAAAAATGATGAATTTTATAACTTATTGTATCAAGTTTGATGTCCGACAAATTAGTGGACCATTTCTGAAAAATGGTCAATATAATGGACCAAAAATGAAATTTTACCTTTATAGACATAATGTAATTTCCTGCTCCTCTTTTGCATAAATCTAACACTCTTAGAACTCTTGAATATTTAACTTTATGCTATATTTAGTTATATATAGTTAATGAGGTTTTCTTGAATTGTTGAATTTTGAAGTCATCAATTTTCAAAGGAAGATTTTATTTTGTAAATAACAATTTTCTGAAAAAGAACTACTCATTTTGAGTTAAGTATACCAATTTTGTTCACCCCTAATTTTCAACGTTGATAATTTAATCCATAACCATTTTTTCCATTAAAAGAAATTAAATATGGAGCCATCAGATGGTTTTCTTATGAAATCATCCATCACTTAATGTATTGTCAAAAGCGACCAAATCCCGACCCTCAAATTATATCCCTTGCTTTTTTCCATACAAGAAATTACTTGAAAATTTCATACTACACTGTATATCTAACACTAATTAAATTAACTTCTTTTTTTTTTTAAATCCTATATTAATATTAAATTCCTAATATTACCTCACAATAAATTAGGTTTGTCTAATCACGACCTCTTACCTTAAGCTGTTGACCAAATTCAGTTGTTCTAATCCACCACTTCGTACCATTCTCTCTTTATATATACACACACAAAGTCACAACCATAAGCTATAGATCATAAAACCACTTTCAATCATTTCAAATTAAGATAGAAAAAAAACAACTTCACTAATAATTTAATTAGGCCAATTAATATGGGTGAAGAATTTCAAGGGGGAGTATCATTTGGAGAACCATGGTGGAATTTATCCAAAAATCTCTTCGGCCTTCCTTCCCCGTGTTCTTCCGGAGCCAACGACATGGTGGAATTTGATTGGCCGAGCCACCCCATGAAAGCTTCGGAGGATAATTGCTCGAACGCCTTAATGCAAGCCGTGCCGCCACCACCGGATTCAAGCACGAGTACTTTCGGTGGGAATTATCCTCTGCAGCTGCAACCACTGAACTCCATCTCAACCTCCAATAATGATTTTCCATTGAATAATATCTCACCTTCGTACAACAGCTACACCGAGTCTTTGTTGCAAACTCTTTTCGACACGGATAATTTCGACCCGCCCCAAATACCCTCGCTCGATCATAATCAGCAAACTATGAATAACTTCCCGAGTTACGATCAAATGAATGTCTCTTCGCACGATTTAAACGTGTCGAGTTTCTCATCAACAAGAGTTACAAACACCCATGTTAAGGTACATATATACTACCTAATATTTATGCATATTTAGGGTTTTTTTATTATTTTTATTGTTTTTTTATATTGTTGATTAAAATAAAAATCGTTCTCAGCGGGTAAACGAAGACCCGGGACACTCGGGTTCGGTGGGTACAAAGAAAGGCAACGACGAGGCGGCCATGAAACGTGCAAGAATCGTGACCCCATCGCCATTGCCGACGTTTAAGGTGCATATTAATGAAAGGCAATGATTTGAGCTTTTTGACTAAGTTATAAGTTAAACTTTTGAAATATGGAGTTATATTTATTTAATGATGATGATGGTAGCTTTTTTATTTTTATTTTTATTTTTTTTAATTTTTATTTATTTAATTTTTGGACAGGTTCGAAAAGAAAAATTGGGGGACCGAGTAACTGCTCTTCAGCAGTTGGTTTCGCCTTTCGGAAAGGTAATATAATTCTTTTTATTATTCTTTCTTGTTCAATAATATCATAACACAAATTCTTGAAATAACTAACTAATAGTTAAACGGGTCGACTCGTCGTATTTTTCGAATACATATATACATTTTCATTATCGAATGTCATATTTTTGTTTCTCTAATGAAATATATATATTTGTGACAATAGTATATCCGGCTAACATAAGTATTACTGAATATCGGGACTGTACATTTTTGTACTCTCTTTATTTTAATTAACTTATTTGTTTTTTAATTTTTATTTTTTATATACAGACTGATACTGCATCAGTTCTCCATGAAGCTATTGAATACATAAAGTTTCTCCATGATCAAGTCAGTGTATGTTAAAAACTTATATATATGTCTTATATATTGTTCACAGTTTATAAATGAGGAAAATGCTACGGTCCCGTTACGAAATCATTCCGTCGATATTTGTAATCGTTAGATCATCATTAACCGTCGGAGATAGTTGATCTAACGGTTACACACCTCGACGGAATGATTCCTTAGCGGGACCGTAACATCTCTCTATAAATGAATGTACGGATTGTTTGATCTTTCTATTATCTTAATTGATTTCAGGTATTAAGTACTCCGTATCTGAAAAACGGATCTCATCTGCATCAACATCGACAGGTAGGGCCTCTAATTAATCACAAATTAGTTCCAAATTAAACAAATATTATTCTTGGCATCATAATATATATTACAAAAATAATCAATGGTTGAAATTTTGTCTTAACACATGATTCAGTAAGTCAGTCGATAAATTAATATGAACAAATAGATTAATAATTACAATGATTCACTAAATTTTATAGGCAAAATTGTATTTTTAGTCCCGCTGGTTTAACGCTATAGTATTTTTAGTCTCAAAATTTCAACCTTTTGTCTTTTGCTCATGTATTTTAGTATTTTGTTGCATTTTCAGCCTTAAATGACTAAAATTGCGTTGAAATTTAAAATCATACGACCAAATAGTAAAAATGTTCAATTCTTAGGACTAAAAACGCAACTGGATCAAACCAACAAGACTAAAATTAAAATTTTGCATATTTTATACATATGCAGGTGCCTAATAAAGTGAATGATGAAGAAGAAAGGCCAATACGAGACCTAAAAGCACGAGGCTTATGCCTTGTGCCAATTTCAAGCACTTTTCCAGTTACTGCAGAGGCTTCCACAGATTTCTGGTCCCCAATTTTTGGAGACTGCTTCAAATAGATTAGATAGATATGTTAAATAAAAACAAAAAAAAAATAAAGAAAAAAAAATTAAAATTAAGAGTACAGTGATCAAATAATAGGAAAAAAAAGAGCAAAATTGCATTTTATGTTGGTTCAGCAAAAGTGCCCTGAAACTTGTTAAAACCCGAAATTTGTGACAAAATTGGGCACAAATTTTGAATTTTAACAAGTTACTGTCCTGTTTGTCACACGAAAAAGATTAACCAAACCAAAAA